AAGTATAATCTAATCTAATCTAATTATATGTGGATATGGCATTCAGTGATTGTGTTAACGGTTAATAACGTTCCAAACTTTATGTTTCATAGAAGGTAACTGCAGGGGTAGTTAGCTGATGGTGTAAATGTGTGTGTACCTTGTCTACAGATCATTCGAGGGCTGAACTCTGGGCAGCACTGTCTGCTGGAGAGTCCCACAGGAAGCGGAAAGAGCTTGGCCTTGCTGTGCTCGGCCCTGGGCTGGCAACAAGCTCAGTTTGGTGAGTCTGTTCTGACTGACACCAAAGAAACAAGTGTGTAAGCAAGTAGGCCTACTGGTCTGTCTTACACAGGCACTGTCACTTGGATGTTTTCATAAATTGCTTCATATAAACTTTTCTTTACAATATCAATATGAGACTAGAAGAGACTTGATTTTTTGTTGTTGTAATGGCATGATATAATTTAAATTGTTGTTTTCATGGTCTTGAATCATATCCACATTCCAAATCTGTGTTTCAATGTGTGATGACAGCCAAAGTGCAAGAAGAAGTAGGCCCTGCAGAGGACAAGAGCCAGCCAGATAAAAACTGTGGAGACTATAAGAAGCCAGACGCCACCACCCCCTGTCAGTGTGTGTGCCACAGCAGAGCCAACAGGACCGCAGCTACAGCAGCTACAGCAGGCCTACGGCAGCTACGCAGCTTACAGGCAGCTACTCAGCTGAGCTTGTACAGCAGCTACAGCAGCTACAGCTACACCAGCAGCAGCAGCCAGACCTGCTGTCGTGGACCTCACTGTGTCTCCCTGCAAAGAGACAGCACAGCCAAAACCGCCGCCGTCACCAGGACCCGAGCATAGTAAGTATCCTTCAGTCTCTAATTTTAACTGTGGTAGCATCTGACACATCCATAACTGTTATTTTTGTCTGAACCTGTATTCCCCTTAGAACAACTACTTTCTTTAGTTTTCTATTTCTGACCCCACCCCTTTTAGTTTGTGTTCCATTTACAGTTGAGCAAGCCATATTGCTGTAGCTGGCGTTTTGCTAACATCATCTAATTTAATGGTCTGGTTTGTAACATTTAGGAGGATATTTTGGCATAAAAGGAATATAATATTCATAGGTATGTTTTTATTTATGTAAATGCTTTGCCTTCTGTAGAGTTCGCCATGTTGAACCGCCGTGTTTCTACAGTAACTCAGAACGGACAAACCAAACACTGATATGTGTTAGATATGGCCTTTCACATTTTTCGTACATTTTGTGGCAAAAGTAGTTTCTCCCTTGCTTTTGGAAGGTGAAGCGAGTGAGTTGCAATCTGCATCCTCATGGCTGGATAAATACCACAAAATCTTGCACACTGGTCCTTTTAACAACAGTGATGTCAGATTTGGTTAGGTCAGTGATATAGAATATTAAATCATCCATCAATCAGTGTGCATAAACTACAGATTCTAAACTCGTTTTTAGAATACAAAAATGTGAATCTGTTATCTTATCGGCTGTGAGAAGCAGGTATTTATCGTTAACTATAACTATACAAAAGAAGATATTTAGTGTTTTTTTTTTCTACAATTGAACTGTCAATAGTTGTTTCAGCCAATGAACCATTCCTTTTAGCAAACTGTTTGATCCAATTACAAAAAAACTTCTTCTTCTAAACTTCTTTCTGATATTTGCTAACTACCTTTCATGCACTCTCAATTGCAACACATGGTGTGCAGGTGTTACAGCTGACTCAGTATGTATATATGTAAAATTCTAATTTATATTTTTTCCCCAAATTATTGCCGCTGTTCCACAGTCTTTGCACATAGCCCCTGGTGACTGCAGAAGCACCCCTGGCTGGAAATTACTGCAGTATTGTTCTACTAATATTACAATAATTGTCCGTTTGTTGTTTTACCTATATGTATATATAATTATATGTGAAATATGAAGCATGCATAATTTAATGGTAAGGTGTGGGCTAAGCTCAAAGGTAAAAAAGAGCTTTGAAGAGCATCTTGAGAGTTTTGATATTCCAGGTGTTGCTGCCAGCTGCAGGCAAAGGTTTCCCCTTTATTTCTTCAGTCTTTGTTTTAGTGAGTCAATGTGCTGACATCATCAAAGCAGGTGTTTGGACTTCAGTCAATAAATAAATAAATAAAACTCAGATGGTAAAAGCAATGGAAGAGACTGAACATGTTATATTAACATGCACCTTAGTGCAGTGGAGCTGCAGTTTCTTCATTAGTCCCAACCTTGTTAGAAACACTGTTGAGTCAGTGCAGTGGCATCTTGCAAATCAAGTGTGGTGAATCATTCAATCATATGAATCATTACACCGATACTCAACCAGTAACCCCTTAGTAATCACTTGTCACATTTTCTTAAAACAACCTAGATATTTACAACTGCTCACCCAATGACCTTCTGATCCTGATTCTGATTTTTTTGATGATTGGGCCTTTATATTTAGTTAGTAAAGGAATCAGTATGCATGAAACCATTGCAGAATATTTTATTGTGCAGACGGCAATAGAATATCCTAAAAAAGCTCAAACTGGTCCTTGATATGTGCAATACTGCAACCAAACTGTATACTGTTCTGTTTTTCATTGGCACATTTATTCAGAGATCCAGTTCTCAGCATTATTAGTATTTAGTCATTACACTTTTGTTATATACTGTACTGTACATATTTTTAATGTCTTATTTTCTATATATTGTTAAATTGTGTTATATTTACACTTATTTTCTATTTTTCTATTTTCTATATAGTTATATATTGTAATATAACGCACATATTTTATAATTCTTCTTATTACTATTTCTTTCCATGGCCTGTTTAGCAATATGATCCCCCCAGAGATCAATATCAAGTATTTCTGATTGTATTTCTGATTTCTGAAAAAGATATTTCTCAAATGTCCTATTGCACAAAAAGCAAATGAGTTACAGCAATTGTTTCAGCTGTGAAACGGTATGGCGGTATATGAACAATTCATAGACAGGAATATAAAGTCGCTATACTGGTTCTGCTGGTATATTGCCCAGAACTATGTCACTGTATATAATGCAAAAAATGTGATGTGTTGTGTTTCAGTGCCGTTACCAAAGGAGTCGCAGCCCAAGAAACAGTCTATAGCCGCCCGTCTGTCTGAGAAGTTCCAGGCCTCCCTCAGCTCTGACCGCGAGAAAGACGACGACTTCCAGCCAGATAAGAAACGCATTCGCGCTGCCGAGCACAAGGTAGTCTTCCATACTTGTATATACTGTTGTACATTTATACTGAACTTACTGTGTATTACATTTAAAGGGTCAACATATAATATTTTGGCCCAATGTCAATTAGGGCTGGATAATTAATCAAAATATTATTGAACTTGCAAGTTGGCCATATAATGAAGGTAAAATGTGTGACAGACAGCATCATAATGAAGTACTGTAGTTCTGCAGAGATGCCCTGGCCTACAAAGAAACAAAATATGTTTGTTTGGTTATATATACAGTCAATGGTGCAGAGCACAAATAACTTAGTTTACTTAACTTAGTTTTTTCAGTGAAAATTACCTTTGAGATGCAAAAATGGTAATTCCCACACAAACTGTGAATCATATTGCAGTATTTGTCAAAATAACCGCAATAAAATTTTTCTACTGTATCGTGCAGCCCTAATACCAATAGCTGCAGTGGTTTGATAAGATGGCTGCATTGTTGTAAGTACTAGCAGTTAGAATTTGATGGTAACTGACAGTACAGTACTGTCAGAATGTGTTGCCTATGCTAACAATGTTACTGAGGTACAGGTGAATTAATATGCAATACACAATTACTGCCAGACAATCATATGAAACATTATGTAAATGAAGAAGAAAAGAAAATATGAATTGGTTTCAGTTACTTGGTAATATATGACAAAATAGTAATATAATCATAATGCATTGCTGAATATAGAAATACTTCCTGTATTGAGGTAAAAGTCAGTACCAGTGACTCAGCTATGACTTGGTCAACTGCTGAGGCTTCACCAGCCGTGGGCGACAGGGCAATTAGTGAATAACTCTAGATCCAAAGGCTAAAAACAGAGTTCCCACACATCCTGGAGAACCTGAAAATGTAGAGACTAGTTTTCCAGTCACAGAAACACCTGGACATTGATTAAAATGTACCAAATATTGTGGAAATAATCTACATTGTCCTTTTGAATTGTATTTTATCTTCTCACTCAGACCTGGGTGAGTATTTGGTTTGAAACTTAACTGTTGGTAGGATAAACTGCGTATGACACTTATGGGTTTACCAGACATGAAGCGGAAAAAAACGGAAAAAAGTCTTAAACGCTCCCTTCCAATTTCGGCCGTATCAGTCAATCTAGCAAAGTGATCTTGCAATGATCTTTTTGGCATCATAATGAACCTGCGACACTTCATCATAAACCCTACATCATTACAAAAGCAGACATAGAACAAGACTTTAAGTCAATACTAGGCCTGCTGGTAAATTATATGACTGTTTTTGACTCCTGAAAAGGTCCTAGAAAATATTTGTTTTAAAGAGTGGAAACCCAGTAAGGAAGCATTAAAGCAGGGAAATTTCAATATTTAACATGGTAATGTATTATTTATTCACTATACTGTATCAGTAGATTGATTCCCTAATTATCTTTACATTGAAAATGTGCTCTTTGTTTCAGTCACATTTGAGGTTAAGGGGATGTAAGAGGTGGCATGCTATCCAAGAGACTTCTGTAAAACATTCTCATTAAACACCATTAAACTGAGACACATTATTTAATCTTTAGTCAAAATAACTTCTAGTTATCTGCTGAGTTACAGCACACATGAGACATGGGCTAAATGTTATATAGCATAAAATGTAGGTTATTAAGTATACCGTCACAGATTTTGATCTTTCTTTGAGCAATAGTAGTCTCCTTAGTGGTTACCATGGCTACATCAACAAGTAGGGGTTGTGACAGTGAAAATGTCCCACTCTCATATCTCTTCCAGTTGTGTGTGTGTGTGTATATATAAAAACCTACCAAAAACTCCCCAAATATAAAACATAAATAATATATAGCTATAATATAAATACAAATGTGTAATATAATGCATCTTTTACATTCCATTCAGAATGTTTTCATGGTTTTTAATGCATCACCCCCCTGTTAGGTAACCACGCAATTATTCTTCATATCAAAAAACTGATAAGCAAGCTGTCTTGTGAAATGCTTTGGTTGTTACTGGTTCTAGAAAGATAGAAATAGGAACACTGAAGCTCAGCGAAGTCACGTTTCTGTGTTTATTCCTCAGAGCCGTAAAAGGCAGCGCCTGGAGCAGGGAGTAGTATTCATAGATGATGAGCCGGAGCTGGAAAATGAGGCGCCAGGTCTTCAGAGTTGGACGATGGAGGCAAATGGCCAGGCAGCAGCTGGGTTGTTCTCATCATGCTGCGTGAGTACACTCCAGACATACAGATGCTAAGCTACACCATAAAATGTATGGCTTCACTGATGCATGGGTCGAATATTGTCCATACATTTGAATAGACGTGTTTCACAATACATTTTGACATGTAACAGTAGGAAAAGCACATGTGATGGGCCATTCAGCTGCTTCAATTTAGAGTTCTGGTATTTTGCTCCCTGGCTCACTGTCACACTCTTCATAGCTTACTTGGTACACTTGAATAGAACAGAGCCATTGTTAATGTCATTGAAAAATGGCTTTGTTCTGTCTGTGCTTTCCCTACTATGAGGTTTATTTTAAACTCTTGTGGGTGATGCTGGTAGAGTGGATTATGGCTCATTTATTTTGTGGTTTCACTATGGTCAGCAGTGAGTTCAATCACCACTCACCATCACCACTGGGTGGCGATATACTCCACCAAATTCACCAATGCTGTGGTTAAAGTTTCAGACTTAAAATAGCAGAACAGGTGTGGTAGTTTTAACAGAACAGAACAAGTACATAACTACAAGGTTAACACACATAGTGTACTACACTATATCACCATAAGAAGCCAGGCTCTGTGTGTGTGTAAACTTAGGGCTTTATTTTTTTATTAATCTTATTATTTATGAAGTCAAATGAGCTGTAAATTATTCAAGACAGACCTCCCTTTTCCATTTGTGGAAAGATTAAACACAAAATAGTAAAATGTGAAACTACATGTATATTAAAATCCATATACACTGTGGATTTAGACCCAGGGGGAGCTTTCTTAAATCTTTGTGCCATAAAAATATTTGTTTTGTTTTATGATATTGTACTGATTCTCAAAAACACTGTATTGATTTTTGTGTTTAACCCCCCCCCCCAAAAAAAATCACAATATCTTACAGTATCACAATATATCACAATATATTGAATCGTTACCCCGTTTCATGATACCTCTTTTATCACCAGATTCTTGCCTGTACAGAGCTCTATTTATATCTATGAGGATAGACAAAATATTAGAAACACCATTTAAAAAAAACTATAACAATCATAAATTTAAGATTTATTTTGGACTGCAATTTATAACTTGTTATTGATTAATCTGACAGTTATTTTCTTGATTATCTGATTATTCCTATTGTTTATAAAATGTCAGATGGTAGTTTACTATCACATATAACAATAAAAAACGGCAAATCCTCACATTTGATAAGCTGGTAATGTTTGGCATCTCTGCTCCATTAATCAATTCATTGACTTGTTCCAGCTCTAGACTTCCTGGGCTGTTGTATTAGACTGCATTAGTTTTAGCTTGGGGCAGCTAATAAACTGACAACTGAGAGTATTTTGAAGGTACATCTGTGTTAGTATCAGGATGAAATTCTTGAAAGTTATAAGGAATTATTTAAAATGTTGTCACATAAAGATTGACAGTCATTTTCTGCTGTTGAAAGTTGAAAGTTTTTGGTCTTTATCATGAAAAAGTATAGCATCTTGTGTGGGGCCATTGCCGCAGTCAGACTCAGACCAACCAAACAAGGGGCATCAAGTAACACTATCTCTGTTTCTTAAAGGTATCTAGATGCTGTTTCTGGTTAATAATCCATGTTCCTGAGTTCTCACCAGGTCCCAAAGACCAACGGGTTAGTCATTATCATTAGAAATTCTGAGCTATACAGTGCTGTTGCACAGCTCACAGGAGTGGTTGAACTCTCAAAACTGCGTCTTAACTTGCCACAGGTGTGTGGCTTGGATTTAGAGCCGTGGATGGTGGGAGGTGGAAAAAGAGGCGGAGGGAAAGTGAAGTCGAAAAAGCGCATCCATCTCTGGTTTCCCTGCAGCTACATGACCCGGGCTCTTTTGTCCCGCGAGCGCTGACTGACGGCCTGAATGGGGCCCTTTGAAGCAAGCTCCAGTTTTAATTAAGAGGGTTTGCCTCGCCTGGGCCGCTGATCTGTGAAAGCCAGAGGGATAAATATTGAATGGGGTTCACCCGCTGGTTACTGCGCCCGAGGGATAAACAGGTGCTTTGGAGGGCAGATATTTGCCAGGGCCCCTACCTGCACAGTGTGGTCATAACGGGAGGGGGGGGGTGTTCGGTGTCACGTCTTCCCGAGGTACTGGCTATTGAAGCCCACCCTTATTGGAATGAATTCCAAGCCCTCGAAAGCTGTGGAATGAGGAGCAAATTGGCGTCCAGTGAGAGGCGCCAGTGATACCTAAGTGATCCACTGCCTGCGGCCCCTCAGTGCCCTCTGACTGGCCCCCTGGAGTGTGAGATTTCCATCTCTCAGGTGTTGGCAGGGAGTATAGCAACAGAAGCCTACCTGTGAATATTCTGAGGTGTTCAGTAACACCACTGACCTCTGTTCTGTCAATTCAAGAAAGCTTTAGCCGCTGCATACACTTACACCTTGGCAGTGTAGGTGTACCAAGGAAACTTAGTATACCTGTACTAAGTAAAGTTAGTATACATGAAGAAACCTAATATACCTGAAGTAAACCTAAAGAAACTCGGTACACCTGTCTTATATCTGTTAACGCTGTGTTAATTACAAAGCTGTTCCCTCGTGCTACGTGTTGTTGGACTGACAAAGTGAGGGCATTCTCATTGTTAGCGGCACCCAAGGAGCAACACCAGTGGAATTGTTCTGCGCTGAAAGAACCAGTATGTTCTTGTTGCGGGCAGAGCTGGCGTCCCATTTGCCCCTTTAGCCAGTTATCTGCATTCCTTTCTAGGGGGTGTCTGCTCTGGGCTGTGGGGCCAGGCTTGAAACCTTGTTGTCCTGGCATCTCGGGAGGCAGGCGCGTAAAAGGATACTCTTGTGTCAGCTGTTTCCTGCTGCAGCATTTGACAAGGGCCTCTATTCATCAGCAAGCCCTTCTACACTGCCCCCCCCCACCACCGCAACCCACCACCACCCCCAAAACCTGCCAATGAATAAGTAATTATTGGCCATCTTGGGGCAGGATATTTGGATGGCTCTATTTAATGTGGCAGCAGCAGGTAAGGTGATCAGGCTCAGGGCCCAGGCTGTGGAGCGTAACTGTTCCAGAGGAGAAAGGTAACTTGAACTGGTGTTGGGGCCCTGCAGCACCTCTGTTTATTTTTCACATGGGCTCAGGGCTCGTTATCCCTCTTAACTCTGAGGCACGGCTCTCTAAGGGCTCCCTTTGGCCTACACTCCATCACACATTGTAATATTTGATGGGCAAACATGCTTGGAAAATCTGAGCTGCCGGGTAACTCGAGCTACTCGTCTGTCATCAGAAGTGCTACCTTCTGATCACGATCATAAGGTGCGATGCGTCACAACACATACCATGCATTCTTACGTGGACTCATTCAGGTAATTTGGTGAGGATTTGGGGATAAACATGTTTGCCAAGCTTGTGAGTTATGTTTATTAATTATTAACAAACTATAGTAATCTCTGAAGAAAGAGGCCGGACACTACAAAAGTCTAAAAATAATACCATGCAGTGGACAAGATGTGTATATCCGTGTTGACCTTTGGGTCTGAAGCCATTAGCTGGATGCCAAAATATCATCTCTCTCAAGGCCCACCCAACATTAAAGCTTCCTTTTGGGGCCTAATTTCAGGGAGTCACCAACCTATTTTAATTTCAATCAAAAGACAATGATAAGTGGATAATCTTGTCCATTATCATCTTCACATATGGTATGATTGTAGTGGAGACGGACAAAGAAAAGAGAGAATGCTGTTGTGAAGTGATTTAAGGCCATGTCCTGTCTGCCATGCCATGTGAATAAAATCCTCTTTCACAGGATATGCAATTTTATATTGATATGTATGCTATAGTTAAGGTCCAGTGTGTAACATTTAAGAGGATCTACTGTCAGAAATGGAATATAATATGAATAGGTATGTTTTCAGCTGAAAATAAGAATTTGTTTTTGTTACCTTAGAATGTGCTATTTTTTGTAGATCACCCTTTTATAGTAGTGCTATATACAGTAGATAGATAAATTATAGATAAATGTATTGATAAATATGTAGATAAATTAGTGCTGCTGCTACTGTTCATACATTTAAGATTACAGTACCTTAAATGATATAATAGTTCCAATGCTGTGTTTGAAAAGCCTGCTATTGGATGGTGTGTGTGAGCCACTGAATGGTCAAAGAGTACACCACTTAAAAGAGCTCAACACATAAGCAGGATCAGTTTCATAAGCGTTGCCAGCTACACTTCACCTGTGAGGGGGGAAGGAAAAGAATTCACCATGTCATTGGACGGCCAATTATGAAGCAGCTAGATTTTCTCAGCCGCCACAATGGTGTCCTATCATCTTTCAGACTCAAAAGGTCACCTGGTGCAGAGTGACAGGACACCTTATGTATGGATACAAATTCTTTATGCTTCTCCGTGTGTTTTTCCAAAGACTATACAAGACAGTCCGTCAGAAAGCCCATTCAGGCCGCAGACAATAGTGATGAGTCGCAGTTGCATGCCTCACATGATAATATGATGAGTGTCCACATGGGACATAATGATCGACTACATTTATTTACATTTATTTGAAAACTTTGAAACACACTGATGGAAATTAACTTAAGTAACAACATAAGTAAAGATAGTAATTTTATTACAGTGGCTTCATAAATAAATAAATGCCACTGTTGGTTAGGTCTCAGAAATAGACTGCCAGCCAACCTCATCATTAATTAAAGAATGCACCATGTGCATGTATGGGTTGTTGCTGCCATAGTGTGAAGTGGTAGGGTGGTTTGTGTCAGTTCCATGTCCATACTAGATCCACTAATCTTAACTTTAGTAGAAACATCTGGGAATTGACTCAAATAACCAATTGTTCTGGGAATAATCTATGTTATCCTGGAAAAGTTTTATAGTTTTTTCGTCCCTCACTCAGATTGCCTACGTAAACCTAGGTTTGAGGAAAACTGTACTTTTCTTGTTTTACCTGGTTTAAATTCTCTTTAGATTGATGATTTTATAACTATTCTATTTTATTTTTTTGTGAAGCAATGTGGGTTTAAAAGTGTTCTATGAATAAAGACTTATCAACATATACGTTCTGCTGCCTTCAGATGGCTGCGAGGATTTAATGAACCGATGGTTTTCATACAATAAAACAGATACCGGACAAATCACTTTTCAAGTTATAGGTAACTCTTTACCAACGTTCCTCCTTGTGATCTCATTAAACTCTCATTTTTGATGCCAATTTAAATCAATGTACTATTTGAGGAGTGTTACATAAAATTTTTTATGGACATTTTTAAGTATTCTTTTATGTTCCCTGCACAATTCCTTCAAGTATTTAGTCTGCCCTTGTTGACAAAATCCCCACATTGCCAGCAGAGAGACTTTGCTCCAAAAAAAGGCTAAAAGACATGGTTCTGAGATGTCTATTCTCAGTGCACATCTAAAACCCAATTTCCAATTACCCAAGTCTCCACAAAAAACAACATCCAATTTGTCTTTGTGTTATTTAACAAAGGATTTGGAAGGAATTTACAGTGAGCACAACTGTGAAGGACGGTATTTTCAGCATAAAAATTACAGTTGCTTGTGTTATGCCATTAAGAGAACAAGATGTGGGACTCAACTGCACTATGTACAGAGATATTGAAATGTAGCTGCAAAGTATTACTCAGTATTTGTTTTTTTTTCTCTCCATCCAGTCCACTGAAACCTGTTCCCTGTGCCCGTGTGCTTCAACCAAAGACAGCATGAAGGACAAGGACAGAGATGGCAAAAAGAATATTCCCAAGATCTTCTTTGGCACTCGCACTCACAAGCAGATAACTCAGATCGCCCACGAGCTGAAGCGCACCGTTTACTCTGGCGTACCCATGACCATCTTATCCAGCAGAAATCACACTTGTGTCAACCCGGAGGTAGCACCTCACTTCAACCGCAATGAACGCTGCAAGGAACTGCTGGAGGGCAAAGATGTGAGGATGAACGCAAAACAAACACCCATTCCTTTACATTAATCCTATTTGAACCCTAACTTTACAGTAATACTCCACCTGAAAGCTGTCTTTGATATCAGCTAGTCTCTCACTGTAAGCTTTACAGGTGGCTGTTTGATCTCATAGAGAACAGCAGCTGTGGTCAACGTGAATACATATGGGTCACAATATAATCCTTTTCCTGCACAAGTTAAAGCTGCAGTTGGTAACTTTTCTAAGAATAACTTGTGATTATTGCTGAAATTTTCATTGTGTTCTAAAAGTAGCACATGAGACAGATAATCTGTGAAAAAATCAGGTTCCACTAGCTCCTCCTAGTGCTCCTAATGGCATTTACAAGAATCTACTGGGTCTGAACAAAAACAACAAATCAGAGCTGAGAAAGATAGGACACAAGACAGTTGATTGTTGAGTCTCATTCCCAGGGTCCCAAAGCATCTGTATTTCACGACCTGGGAATGAGACTTAACAATCAACTATCTTTCTTGTCTCTGATTGGTTGTTTTCTGGTAGATTCTTGTAAATGCCATTAGGAGCACTAAGCTCGAGGAACTGTATGCCCTCACAATGAACTGTTCCGGACCTGAACTTTTTGATCCCAATAGATCTCTCCCTCACACACATACTGACTTGACCTCACACCATCGTGTACTGTGAATAGACCTTTGCTACAGATTCACCCTGTAACACAAACCCACAGGTAACTACCACTACCAGACAAAACACCTTCAATAATGTAGCCTCAGAGCAGCAATTATGCTGCTACAATATCCACAATTGGTCCAGCAGGCACTTTCTGACACGCAAAAAGTCAAGAACCATTGAGAGAGTTTTTTTTAGAGACATGAGACACTTGTTGAGGCGCCTACTGTAATGAACACAATTACGCTGTCATCGGAGGTGTTTGCCTCCCATGGCAATTGTCTCACTTTGTCATATGAAATAGCTGGCCCAGTCTTAACCCCTCACTGGAGTCTTCATCACCTCAGGGTCTAGTCTAGTCAGCGTCAGGTTACAATGCTGTATGGTAACACTGATTCATACGCAGGAACACACATCGTTCAGCTAGTGTCATCTTCAGTCAAAACACCTGCCCTCTGTTTTAACTGTGCAGTAAGCTGTCCTGACTCTCCTAAATGTGGCTGCGTGGCCTTTAATCCCCCCAACTCCCCTTTCACTGAGCGGACAGGGTTCAGTGTCAGCAAAGTGTCCAAGCTTAGCACATCATTGAGAAGAAGATCATTTCACCCAGGGATTATTTTGTCTGGAGGTTACTGAGTCCACTGGTGTACAGTATTTCTGCAGTGACAGTGTCACCTCAAGCTGTTACATTTATAAAGAACAGGGTGGGACATCTAAAGCAGAGACACCTCTTTTGACAGAGTAATTGGGGCTTGGTACATGAGATGCTGTTTCTTTACACATCTTCTACATTCACTGTAGTAGAGTGTCAGGACGTGTAAAGCACTACAATGGCTGGAACACCTGATCACAGACAGCCTCTGAAATGCTGTATGTCTACTGTGGTTAAATTGGAAACTAGAGAGAGGAAAATAAATTTAACAATCCAGTTATTTATTAGAAATATAAGAAATCCTAATAACGGTCCTTAAAATAGTTGTAGATGTAAGGTTCTGTTTAATATAAATAATCTTTTCTTTTTTTTTATCAAAGCTGTTAACAGTTTGTATTAATTTAAAAAAAAAAAAATTGACCAAGTTAATACCAGAAATAAAAAGTTTTGAATGTTTTCCCAGTATATTATTCTTGGCAGAGAGGAAAAGACCACAGTATATGAAAAATGTCCTTGAAATTAAATCTCTAAAAACTAGAGATAGGAAATTAATTTCACTTAGCGATTAAAGTTTTTAAAGAAAATTGAATGAGTTAGTTTCTGTTCGATGGACTATGCCATCACTAAGTGAATGTGTGTGAAAGGGTGGCACGTAGTGTAAAAGTGCTTAGAGTGGTCGGAAGACTAGAAAGGCGCTATACAAGTACAGGTCCATTTGCAATTATTTTTCTTTTTTGAAGCTGCAGTAGGTAATTTTATAAAATAACCTTTCATCATTCATCATCATTTTGAGATTTTTTCACTATATCCTGACAGTAGTAGAAGAGACAGATAATCTAAAAATCAGGTTCCTTCTAGCTCCTCAAAGTGCTCCTAATGGCATTTTCAAGGGTCCAAATGAAAACAACCAATCAGAGCCAAGAAAGATATAAAGACCCTTTGGGTTTGTGGCCTGAAGGTAGTTGATTGTTGAGTCTCAGTCCCAGCATCGATATTTGATGATCTGGGACAGATTAAAAAATAAACAAAATAAATATCTTTCTTTGCTCTGATTGGTTGTTTTCATTCAGGCTCAGTGGATTCTTGCAAATACCATTAGGATCACTGGAACCTGATTTTTTAAACAGCAGATTATCTGTCTCCAGTACTACTTCAGGATATAGTGAAAGTTTCAGCAAAATATAACAAAGTTATTTTTATAAAAGTTACCTACTGAAGCTTTAAAATGTTATTTGCCCTGCTGGCAACCTTTGATAGTGCCTGGAAGTTGCATTTTGTATCACTTCTTAAGGAGAGCCCAAACGTAGTTCCAGGAACTTCTGGAGGTCAATGGAGATCTATGGAAACAAACTCAAAACTTGACAATGACAACATGTTATGTTTCATCCAATTCCTGCATTGAAAAGGGACTACATGTAATCAAAGAAACTACATATCATGCATGAGTTGCTGATGTGTGTGATTTCCAGCTCCTAATAAAGTGGCAATACGGTCTAACCCTTTCCTTTATCTGTTCATTGAACATTACAGGGCAGGTCATGTCGCTACCACCATGGTGTCCAGAGGATGCGGGACCAGTACACACTACAGCATGTCCACGGACTTAATAAAGCCTGGGACATCGAGGACCTGGTGGCACTGGGAAGACGGCTCCGGTCCTGCTCATTTTATGCTGCGCGTGAACTCCGGCAGGAGGCCTCTATCATCTTCTGCCCATACAACTACCTGCTGGACCCAATGATCAGAGAGAGTGTGAGTAGAGTTTGGAAGAGAAGGTGGACGAACTGTAGGACAATCAGGACACAAATTAGAGGAAGGGAGCGACATAATGAAGAACCAGATCATAGGTAGAGTTCGGGGATTAACCACCCACTCTCCTCTACTCTTCTCTTGCTTTCAACCTCCAGATGGAGATCGACCTGGCAGGCCAGATCCTGGTACTGGATGAGGCCCACAACATTGAGGACTGTGCAAGGGAGAGTGCCAGCTTTACTTTAGACCACAACAGTCTGCTGATGTCCAAGGATGAGCTCGATGGCATGGTGAACAGCAACATCAGGCGATCCAAACACGAACCCCTCAGAGACTTCTGCTATAGCCTGATCAAGTTAGTGATTTAATCGTGCTCATTAGAGGTTCTCATAATTTGAGTATATATTTACTATACATGTCTTTTTGTCCATGGTGTAGCTGGATCCAGGAGAGCCAAGGCCTGATGTCTGAACGGGGATATGAGAGTGCCTGTAAAGTCTGGAGTGGGAAGGATATACTGGGTATCTTTCACAGCCTGGGCATCACTGCTGCCACCTTTGGCATTCTGAAGGTACACCAAATATCTTAAATGAATACTGACTAGACTTTTTAGTTTAACCACACCCTTACAGATTCAAACTTGACTTAATTACTTTCTCATCATTTGACTGAATACTGTGAATTGTGCTATTATTATTTTTATTAGTAGGGCTGAAACGATTCGTAACTCAAATACTAAAAATCATCTATGCAATTTCTTTGCATCAAAGCTTTATTTAATCCATATAACTATGTACAGTCATACAGCACACTGTGTGTTGCTCACATGATTATTACTTGCACACAACATGCTTTGGAAAAAAGAGAAAATACCTAAGACAAGAGTCCAGATCAAATTAAACCATGGTTCCGTGCGTTTCTAGTGTGAAACACTTCTAGGTTTGGACTCAGGACCAAACCGTTCAGAAAATTAAAAAGAAAATGAGCCTGAACACATGGGGACATTTTGTTAGACAATTTATTAGATTTAAATACTTGCTGCAAGTTCTTACTTGGTTGTTCTGTAATCGTTTCCATATGTCTTCCACTCTCTGTGTGATAGCAAAACCTGGCCGCAGTGTTGGAGAAAGAGGAGCGTAAGGGTTTGGTTAATGGTAAAGAGGATATGGTGGAGATCCCAACCATCAGCTCAACTACCTCCAGTGTACTTAAAGGCCTCTTCATGGTGCTGGACTTTCTCTACAGAGACAACTGCAGGTCAGAGACAAAGCAAAGAAGTTGGGTAGACTACCATCATAAGTGCCTCAGGTGAACTGTCGTAGTAGCAGAGTAATTGCTCACTTGTTCTCTGTGTGTCCGTAGGTTTTCTGAAGACTATCGGGTAGCTCTGCAGAAGAGCTACGAATGGACGAAACAGGTCCCACCTGATGTCCCTGATGCCCAGGGCTTTATTGTTCGGCCATGGCGGAGACAACGCCAGGGCGTCCCAGTGAAGAAAGAAGTCCTGAAACTCAGCTTCTGGTGCCTCAACCCTGCTGTGGTGAGAGGTTAGACATGGCAGACCCTGCCGTGCAGGCCACACTGATCTATTACTGAAGTCTATAAACATGAAGAATGTATTATTTATAGTCCCACAGACTGTGGGACTCTTTTGTTTTGGTCACAGAGTTTGGGTTCTATGTAGGCCTCCGTGTTTCCAGTGTAGTAGCACTGAATGTAAAAGTGAGCATTTACATTCACTATATTAAATGTCTTCAGTTGTTGTGTTGTTTGGTTAAATGTTGTATTTTATTATTTATGTGATGTATGGGATGCAAGACAATCCCAGGCAAATTTCAGAAAGATATTATAATGTTAAAGCAAAATCAAACCAGAATCAAATCATGACTTAACAGATTCTGAAATTAAGCTTACCAGCCAAGTATGAGTTAAAAATGTCTCAGAAATAAAGAAGCATTTCTTTTTATCCCTTCAATCTCCACAATTCCATTAATGTCCCATAATATTATGTTTATATTATGTATTCATTACGGAACAAATGAGTGCTAAAACACCCCATGGAGGTTCATTGTCAGGGTTCCCATGCGTCCTGCAAAACCTGGAATACTTGGAAATGTAGAGACTAGTTTTACAATTATAAAAACTTCTAGAAATTGATTAAAATGACATTAAAGGATATCTTGGAAATAATCTTTGGTGTCCTGGAAAATTTTAATTGTATTTTAGCCCCTCACTCAGATTGCCATGTAAACCTAGGTGTGTATGAAACTGTGTAGGTTAAGGACTTCACTTTACCAGATGCAAAGTGGAATGGAAAAAAGCTCCCTTTTCATTTGGTATCCCATGTCAGTCAATGTAGCTCTTTGAACCAGATGGGGAGAGGGAACGGACTTGCATTTAAGCGACCAGTTAATTTTTTCCGGAGGAGCAAGTGGAGTTTTACAGCCAATTAACGATCAAATTTATATTTGTTGTCATTGATAAATGGATGCACAGCGATTCGCTCGAAACCACAGAACAAAAACCTGTAATGTAACCTGTAGCCTGTAATGAACTTGAAACACTTCATCATGAACCTGCATCATTACCAAAGAGTTAATACAACTGGAGTTAAATGTATCGATGTAATCTAAATTAAGTGCTGTCCTGTATTGTCAAGAAAATGATTTCTGCTGGGAAATGATTTCTTAAAAAGAGTGGGAACCCTGATTGTGTCTGTGTCTTATCTCTCAGGCTTTCTCTGACTTGAGTGGCTCAGTGCAAAGCATTGTGCTTACATCAGGAACGCTGTCACCCATGGGCTCCTTCTCCTCTGAACTTGGGGTGAAATTCTCCTTCCAGCTGGAGGCCAACCATGTTATCAACAAGTCCCAGGTCAGTAGGTTTACTCATGTCACTGAGCCTCTGGGAACACTGCAGCTTATGCACTTTGTTGTTGCTCTTACAAAGTGGATTACTGTACAAGGGAATAGTTAATGAGTGTATTTGCAACAATACAGTGGCTGGACGCTGTGTACATACTGCTTGATTCCTGGATGACTACGATCCCAAATATGACTGATTAATGATTTAAAATCTCACTCCTCATTGAAATTTCTTAAGTTTTCTGAAAGCTTTCCTGGAAACAATGTTTAGTGCCAACATGATAATGCTCAGATAATGCTTATATCTAATGCTCTCTCTTCAGGTTTGGGTAGGCACTGTTGGCGCAGGACCCCAAGGCAGAAAACTCTGTGCCACCTTCCAACATACCGAAACGTATGGTTTCCAGGACGAGGTGGGTGCGCTGCTACTCCATGTCTGCCAGGTCGTGGCCAAGGGTGTGCTCTGCTTTTTGCCTTCTTACAAGGTAAATATCCCACTATAACATACCCTACTAAAACAAGAAAGATAGGCTATGAAATGAGTTAATATGAGATATGCGTATTAATCTGCCATGACATTATTATTAGTCAGTACATGACACAAAATAAATAAAGTGTACAGAATGAAGGAAAAGAAGCCTAATAACTCCATTATAAAAGAAATACGTTCAGCAGGCAACACAAAAACATTCAAGTAGCCACTTAACTTTCTAAGTAAGGTGGTAATGTGCTATTGTACTGCACTGCATGAATATAACAGGAGAGGTGCTTCTATTTTTCAGGTCACTCAGTGTAAAAGGATTGGTGATTGCATCATTGGTACAGAATGTTTCCTGTTCCCTTGTTCTTAGTTGTGCAGTGCAACTAAAGTGTACACTCAAAATGATTAATGACATTGTATTGAAGTGGTGGTGGATTGTTTGCAGTTAAAATATTACCACATTTGAACACTGGGGGGAGCTAGAGACCATACATTGGACCTGCGACGTCCAGAACATTAGTTGTTTGAAGGTATTTCTATGAACTCGTGTCATGCAAAACAAGTAATAGTTTCAAACCCTAGACTGGATTCCAATAGATCCCACTGCTAGGAAGCAGCTGTCGGCAGTGTCACATGTTACAATAGATTACTACTAATCAATAGAGGTACTTGTCAAGTGCTTTGTTAAAGGCCGTCACCCTCACAGAACTGTATCCTCTTTCAGTTAATGAGGGTGCTTCTGAGAGCGCACTCATAGACACTTTGTCCCCCTTTGTTTGTTATGCGTTTTTGTTCATGAATAATTAATGTCCACTGTAGCTCACTTGTCACATTAGCTTACTAAGGGTCAAGTGGCTTTCATTTATCATTGTGCGTTTGTCCACATTGCATGTTACGTGTTGGTTCCATTGGTCAATGAACATACTTACTGTGGGAAAGATAATACATGTGAGTTTAAAGCCTCTTTAGTTTTTATGTTTTATAATGCAGGGGTTCCTTACTTTTTTGGCCGCCGACTCCTTAAAATGAAGCCCTCTCCTTTTATCCATGCATAATGACCAGTAATTCACAGAATATATATGTAGAATAGATAGAATGGAAAATAGATATATGTATATATTTTTGCTACAAATCAGTTCTATCTCTTACAAATATAACTTTGAATTTTAAGGTAAATATAACTGATTTGAAGAAAGACGCAGAGTGTAGTGGTCGACAAACATAGAAATACTTTACCTAAATCCTTTGCCAGCCTTGAATCACAAAGTTCTTCTATAAATATACCTTACACTCTCTTTCTCATTGAGAATCTTTAATTTGACCTGCCTTTCCCACGATTATGTTCTACACTCATCTGCTGTTTCCACTGACAATGCATTGCATCATGGAAGCCAGCCGGCACTGATGTACTGTGTTTTACCGAGTCAGTGTCGTGTTGACACATCATTCTCCATCAAGCAGTGGACCTTCACACATGTGTTTTGCTCTTGGCAAATTTTGTTTTTGCCTTGGGCACATTTGCGTGTTCGACTTGTATTTCAACGTGTGACACGTGGTGATCAGTGGTTTGATTTCTCTGCCCTCCTTGTTTGTTTGCTATCCAGTTGCGTTCTCAAACAGCCTATGACACCGCCATCCAAACTGTGAGGGAAAGCTAAGACTCCGGGCCTTGTTGTTTTCTCATTTTACCTTCCTTTTTGTCAGCCTGTGATGCCAGCCGAGGAGCGACTATGGGATGTTTTTTTATTATTGATAGCCGTGTAGGAGTCTTCTATCTCTCTCTCCATGCTGATGCATAAATATTTAATCTGCAGTCAGCTCTTAAAGATGAGGAGATGAGGGGATATGAAGGGCTGGGGTATTAATTGGAGCCCGTGGAGGCCTTGTTGGTGCCGCTGAGTCCCGTCTGCCCCTGTGATGTGTGTGTTTGTGTGTGCGCAGGCGATGCAGGGGGGATAGGTCATCTCCAGACATTCCTGTTCAATGTGTCTAGTTGATGGCTATCAGCCCCTCATACACTTTCTCAGTGCAGGGTCAAGGAGGTGTACCTCAAGGCTCTGTTCGTACACACACACATAAATACACAAAGTCGTAAGTGAGTTCAGTTTTATCTTCTTATGGCAGATAGAACAACACAAATAGTAAAATGAATAATAAAATCAATCTAAATCTGACTTTTGCTGGCAATAATGTGTTATTTTGGTTGTTGTCACTTCCCAGCAGTGGCATTGGTGCACTGCAGTCCAATGAGTGCAAAGAAAACTCAAGAGAATGTTGGGCATTAGCACACAGCTCGATTTCTTTTTTAAGATACACGGACACACAAGATATGCCTGTAATCACGGTCACACACACACACACACACTTTCCCAGAGAGCCTGCACCAGTGCTGTGGTTTTGTAGCACTTTAGCCTCAACAGCCCACCAGTTAATGCCCATTAAAACCACAGCGGGCCCTGTAGTCTGGTCCCAGCCGCCAAAGGAAGGGACCAATGCTCCACTGGGGAGGGGGACTGATGGTTTATTTAAAAAAAAAAGCAGGGTTTTGCAGAGGTGAAAAGATGGCAGGGAATACAAGATGCTTTTAAAGGAGATTGAGATAAGGGCCATTAGGTGATGTCGCCTCGCTGTCTGTGTGAAGACGCACCCAGCGCTGGCGCCTGGGCTGCGCCTAGCATGTGTCAAATCAAAGTCAAAGCGGACTGCAGCGTGAACACCCACCAGCACGCACTGTCCTCAGCAGCTCAGGGGCATCTGAAGCACCAATCACGCAGGTCCAGAAGTACTGTTATTTTAAAGTGAGGCTGGCTGTGTTTGGGAGCATTTTGCGATTCATGGTTCAATTTGCCCAGTGTAGCATATCCCTCCTGCTTTTTTTTAGTGCTTAGGTGATGTTTTATATGAGTTTTTACAGTGGAAACTTCAGGATTACTAGTGTTTGACTAAGCTGGAGCTTTTTTGGAAGGCTTAGAGTTTCAGACTTAAAGATCACAGGTCAGATGTAGCTTTAGTCATCTCCTTGTTCTGAGACAGAACACCATAGTAGCAATTTGTAGCTGTCAGTGCGTTTGAAATATAATTAAACATAACATGGAGTCTTTAGAGCTGATATTGATTGACCTGAAATGATTCATCTGTTGATTATTAATCACTTAATCATTCAATCAAAAGTCCAAAATGATGATCAAATTGCTTGTTGTGTCCAAACCCCACTCCTCCAAAACTTCAACAATGACACAAAACAGAGAAAAATGCCAACTGCTTAAATCTAAGAAACTGTAACCAGTGAATCTTTTATGTTTTTGCTAGATAAATAACTTAATGATTAATCAATTTTCCAAACAGCCGGCAGTAGTTGCAGGAATTAACTAATGAAGTAGCTGACTTGATACAGTGTTTGCATAAGGGTAATATAATACTGCAACTAAAGAGAATGCATTTTTAAGGGATAAGGCTAGAGATTATCTATATTTATTCTATAAATCCTAAAGGTTGTTTGGTAACACCGTCAGCCCCACAACTGGTGATTGCCCATATATTCCTGCAAGTCCAACAAGCACCAAAATCTGGTTTGGTCGAGCTAATTCATCAAGTTAGATGTGAAAATATTCTGGCTGCATGCTGTTTTTCTTCTCATTCATTCTTCGGAGGCAGGCCATTCACTTAGCAAAATAAAATGAGAAAAGTCGCCCCCCAAAAAAACAATCACATATGGACTTAAATCACCAATAGCTGATATATTTATCCAATCACCCTGGTGAATCCTAAGCCTGTTATGTGTGATTCCCCTGGAACATAGAGCTCCATTGTTCAGTAAGCCACACTGTTGCAATGGGAGACATCTTCCTTCATTTCTTTTCACACACACTGTAGTTCATTTTAATGCAATCCAACATAAATCGTCCTGCTGCCAGAAATGCTTGTTAGTTCAGCGAATCACTGTAGTCTTTACCCCGTCTGAATAATGTTTGTTATAAACTACAGTACCAAGCTGTTTTAGGAGTTAATAGGGATGCACGATAATTATCGGGACAGATAAATTATTTGTAGATAATGGGAAATCTATGTATCATAAATTATCGGGATAATTAAATTACAGGTGATCGGTTGATATTAACGATAATACTGAGAAACCAGCTTTTTCTAATAATATGATTTTGTTATATCATGTGTCCAATAGCAACATTAACAATCTTTATTTTCAATGCATTTGATCGACATTCTGTTATATTTCACATCTAACGGTTATCACTTGCTACACTGTCGATTGTAGAGCAGTAATAATTTTATTAATAAATACTACTGTATTTTAATACACAGTGTACAAACTGATATATAAATTGTGATCATAAATTATAATGATCTGAAACCCTCCCATATGTATAGATAAGTACTGTTAACATCCAATCAAATATGTATGAGATATATATTTAAAGAATAAAAAGTCCTATCAGTGACTGTCTTCTTCTCTGGGCAGCAGGCAGTGTTTTTGCAGCGTTCCGTTGTCACCACCAGTGTGGCTGGGATGTGTAGAGCAGCAAGACAAGGGAAAAGTGGCAGGCCAGAGGTGGCAGGTGGCTTCTTGCCACCAGTCCTGGCGTGATGGTTGCTGTGATATTTTGGGGCTAAATAATTTACACCGCAACAACACGTCTCCCCTCGCCACTGCGAAATGTGGCTCCTGGCTGCATGTTTCATTAATGCCGTCGCCTCTAAATCCCTTCCATAATTCAGCAGGCACTGGAGGAGCTGCAATGTGTCGCCACACAGCTCAGTGACACCAGGGACGCAGGGAAGGAGATAGAGAGAGGCCGGATGCAGAGGAGGTGAAAGATGGGGAAGATAGTAAGGGGTGGAAGAGAGGGGAAGTGTAAAAGTGCGAGAAAGACTACAGTTCACTGCTTCTATCTAGTTGTTTCACCACCCTGTCCCAATTGGCAGAAAGACCTGGCCCACTTTACCGTGTCACTGGCAGAGACTGAGCATTGAACCTACCATGCCTAG